TTTTGTATCTTAGATTAAAGTTCTGGTGTTTCTGTACAAATATAGCTTTCTCCAGTAATCCTTCTCACGAGAGAGATATTAAATATGTACGTATCATGGGTGTTTATAGTAGATAGAAAGTTATAAGAGGAAGAGAAGGAAGAGTAGAGTTGGTGTAGCATCTAAAATAAATACTGACCTTGTTTGTTACTACTAGTAGAAAGATGAACGATGAAATATTTGTTGAATAGCAGTTTGAGGTGCAGAGGTATCGATCTTCTCCCAATGAACGAGCAGCAAATATAGCTAGCATTTCAACCACGTTCGTAATTTCTTGTCACAAATTCTCTTTTTGTTTCTCTAGTTTTACTTGTAAATTTTATTGAATTCTTTGATGCATCATGTCTTTAATTTTCTCTATTTTTTTTATTCAACTTCTCCTGAGTAACATTTATAGAGGCCCAGAACCTCCAACTTTTCCTTTCAAAACTGTTTTCGTAACCCCCGCCTATACAATCTCATGCGTCCACGATGCTTGGATTCCATGACTGATTGATTTTCATCTTCACTTTCTTGAGTTGGTCCATCTTGGGATATTCCTCCATCTTGTGGTTGTATATTAAAGTACTAACAAATAATCAAATTGAAGATTTTATGCCAAGCCAAAACAGAAAAATAGCAACAATATTTTCAAATTAAAAACCATAGAAGAATCTCTAAAGTTATGCACATTAAAACCAAGTGTGAAATATTCAATTAAAACAACTATGACAGGTGTGTTAGCCATAAAATCAAAAGCATCATGACAAATCAATTCAACTGCCAGGGGTACAAAATTGCTCAAAATTGTATAACTGTTCCTACTTTCCATGTTATCATAATTATCTCGTTAGCTCTAAGCTGGACATGTCACATGACGTTGTTGGAAAAAAACGATTTTACAATTGAACTAACAAGCAAATATAACCATAAAAAATATACATGTCATGCAAAATACTAAAGTAACATGGCAATCTTTATAACTTTTGATGGATCAATTTGATACTGAATTACTTGTCTCTTAAAATTGTAAAATGAGGCTACAAGGCATTAACTATTAAAGCAGAATATTCTACTAGAATTAAGTCAACTAAGAAATGAGAAAAAAGAAAAACACAATGATGCTTTCAAACCCGCAAGACCAACTTCATCTATTACCAGGTAAGAGTTTGGAGCCATAGTTAGCTAAAAGTTAATAGGAAAGATTCATGTGAGAGTCATTCAATTAGTTTTTCTGTACAATTCTACCTCCTAAACCAAGAAAAACACAAAATAAGCATATGAAACTCATTCTTAACAGTAATCCAAAGACGACCAATGATAAAATACACCTACACTATGGTCTTAGATTTTTTTGTGCTTCTATAGATGATTTTACTGACTTTCTAAGATGATTCATAAGAAAGAGTTGATAATGGATGATTAGCAGCTACTAAAACCCACGAATAGCCTTCAAAAATGGACAGTCAATCAATTATAAAGATGCAATAAAGAAGAAAAAGAACCCTAACAGATCCCCAATTTTAAGAATAAAGAGCAAAAATGGAAGAATTTTAATATGAAAAATCCTAACATGTCCCTAATTTAGATTCAAAGCTTCAATAGAAATAAAAATGATGAACTCAACAAGAAATTAATAAGTGGAACAAGAAAGGGATGATTAATTCAAGAAGAAACCCCCAAATCTTAAATACATTACCACACATCTTAAATTAGGGATTTCAAATTTTTGCACCTTTAACCTGCAACAAGCAGTAGGTAGAATACACGAAATCTAAGATTGCTAAAACATCTATCCAAGAAAATACACTTACCGGCGTCACCCAATAGAATTTTACAGTTACGTACCGACAATGATGTACAGCTACCGGCAGCGAGATGCTATATACATACAGGTTTCCAAAGCTATTTGGCACAGATTGTGGTGATAATTTACGGCTACAACTACTGATCATGGCTTTGGGATGATTCTTCCATAGATCTCAAGAGAATACTAGAGTTTTTCGGAACAGACTTTGTTCCTTAGGTCTTTGAGTGCGTTGAAGTTATTTGGGGTTTTAGGAGTTTTACAGATGTTATAATTAAAATAAAAGATAAAAGATAAAAAATAAAATAATAGTGTTGGACAAGCTTAGTGAAATGGGGGAAAAAGAGGAGGGAGCAATACACCGACCCAGTATATACTTTTAGCCTAAAATCCGTCGCCAAAGATATGTCTATTGCAACGGTTACAAAATCGTTGCAAACATTGATGCTACAACAACGGTTCCTAGAAAAAGGCAACGGTTCTATATCTAAAGTGTCTCAAAAGCACTTAGACCCTTAGGCAACGGTTACATCAATGTAGTGAAAACCGTTGCAGAAAAAATCGTTGCAATAGGCCCAATTTCAAGTAGTGAAAACCCATTTTGAAAGTATGTTTTGTTTGCCCGGTCCATGTGTTTGGACGAGCATGTGCTTGGCAGAACTGGTGATCTTCGACCAGCCGCAAATATATATTATTTTGTGAAAAAGCTAAAATTATTTGATAAGTGATTTGTGTGAGGCATAGCCTCGTGCTATGGCGTTCGGGCATTAGAAATTTATTTCTTCGCTGCTGTAATATTTTTGGGGCATTGTGTATGCTGACGTGATATATTTGGAGCATGTTGTCGTGGACTAGTCGGGGTGTTTGGTTAATTTCCTTCACTATCGTTTATGACAAGTCCTTAGTATCGATTGTGATCAGATATATAATGTTGTTGTTGAATATATGTTTGAACCTTATGGGTAGTTATATGGTGAAATAATTTCTGTGCATATTATTTTTGTGCTCGTTGTGTGTTTGTATTTTCTAACACTTGTTCCAGGGGTATTTAAAGTAGCGGGTTGAGGATCTTACTGGGTTATATTTACATATAACTCACTCCTTACATGCATGTCCATGCAAATACTATTGATGAGGACGAGACTAGTGGTTGAAGAGTACGTGAGCGGATTCCATTGCTGAGATGAGCCGCCACATTACTCGAGGAGGCTATTTTTCAGCTTTTCCTATTTTATGTCTTTCATTTCTTTTGAGATTTACATGCCAGACAATAAAACTCACATAACTCTTTAGATGCTCCATGGTCTTAGTATGGAATTTTGGTTAGAGATTTATTGCTTGAGTGTTCACCAGATTTTACAAATAAATTATATTTTTTGTTGGATAATTATTTTGTATTTAGTGATTTTTAATGCATTTAGGCTTGTACGTATTTCTCTCAAGGCTTATATAAAGGTTAAGACTTATATAGAGGTTAAGAGTACATAAATTACTTCGCCTGGTGTATGGTGTTAGTTGTGTGTCAGTCACGTCCAGGGAATAGATTGGGATGTGACACCAGTCCATTTCAATTTCTATTGGATGGAGCCATTGGGCGTCTGCCCCTATGAGTCCCTTGTAGAAAGTCCACTGTTCTGCATGGATACGATTGTTTGTGCTAAACTTCCATAATAGCCAAGAAACATAACCACCCTTGTAATTTTTTATTACTCCTATTCCCCCAACGCTCACAAATACTAATTAAACGTCATTTGAATTTTAACCAGTGCTAGATAACTGATATCATGCACAAGTTTGTACCTATATGGCTATATAGTAAGGATGCGTTATGACAATTGACAAGTGATGCGTTAGTATGGTTGACGTACTATTTATTGGTAGTACGTGTTGGAGTTATATTTAGGCCACACTTGACTATTCTGTATGTATCTAATTATTTGTATTGCTTAATCTCCTTTAATTATTATTTTTTGTAACTATTAGATGTACCCGTGCGATGCACGAGCAACATTAAAAAATATTAATTAAATTAAATTGTGATCGGACTTGTTTGAACAAATTAGATTGTATTACTTTAATAAATTTCAGTTGTCATCTTATTTGTCAATGTAATAGAAGATACATATTTTATTACTCTTGAAATATTTTTTTTTATTTTAAATTTTATCCTATTGTTCTCAATAATATTATCTGAAATTTAATGAATAAAATTTCTATTAAATTAATGAAACTTATATAGGCATTTAATTATTAACTAAATAACTAATATGCTATGTGGCTTTTTTCTAGACTGCCACTTGGCTTAAGGAGATGGATTTTTCGTTTCTTTTTAATAATATATAGATTTATTATTTTATAGATATTTAAATTCAAAAAATAATAACTAATAATAAATTATTAATTAAATAACTAATTATTAATTATTTATGCCATGTGGCGTTTTTCTAAGTTGCCACTTGACTTGAGGAGATGACTTTTTCCTCTCCTTTTAACAATATATATAAATTGGTTAGACCTGAATGTATGTGGACTTGTATATAAATGATTAGTGGTTGCACTTTGGGACCAAGTTGCCTATTTTAGACAGAAACATCTCCCGTCTCTTTCTCGAACCTTCCCTCTTCTTCTTCGTTGAGTCTGTGATTATTTCATCAAATTCAACAGCACGTGAAGGAAGCATAAGATTGATTGAACATTAGAACCATAAAGAAATAGATTCGAGATAGTATATAACATTTTAACCCTTAGTATATTACTTCACGTTTCAATTTGTATGATATACTTTGCTTTTTAGCATGTTTCTAAAACGAATAATATTTTTGTATATTTAAAAATAATTTAACTTTAAGCTTTTCATTTTAACTTTAATATAATAATTTATAATCATACAACTATTTAAAACTTGCTGTAAATTACTACCAGTTTAAAATAATCCTTTCTTTCTCGAATTCGTGCCCAATCAAATTGCATTACATAAAATTAGAGGGAGGAATATATAACAGTTTCTCCAACTCGTAAATAGCTGGCATGTATTGCGGTACTACACTGTAAACTTCCACCTCAACGCCATTTCCCTTATTAGTATATCATAACATACTGCATGTCAGGTCATGTAATTATACTCATTTTATAAGGCTTTGTTTGACTGCTCACTAAATTTAAGAAAAAATAAGAATTGTTTTTATAATTCATGATATATTAATATTTTTATGGCTCTAACTTTATATCAGTAATAGTAAAATAAGAATTTAAATTAAATTATATTTAACTATAGAAAGTTCTTTTTTTTTTTTAGATAGACTAAAAGTAAGTGTACATGAAATAAGTCTGGGGGAAGTGTATCTCGAAAATAAATAGAATGGAGCAGCTAATTTGTTGAGTTTAATGAACACTAAACAATTCTCGATATTTTAAAAGGGTGATGCAATAATTTACATATATTAACAGTCAGCTTAATTTATCTCTTTTTCAAAATATAAAATCACGTGCATGTCATGTGACGTCATTATCCTGATAATGTTAAGGGAGGCTAAAACTGTACTCTCTCTGTTCCAGTTTATGTGAACCTATTTCCTTTTTGGTCCGTTCCAAAAAGAATGAACCCTTTCTAAATTTGGTAACAATTTAGCTTAAAGTTACAACTCTACACTTAATGAGAAGCTTTTATAACCACACAAATACTTTGGGTCCCATTTGGACTTGTTTAGGACCACAAATTCTAAAAATCTTCATTTTTTTCTTAAAATCCATATACAGTCAAATAAGTTCACGTAAATTGGAACGGAGGGAGTACCATTTCATCACATTCTAAGGTATACTCTGCTAAGGTCTAAAGTTAAGGGAGGTGAAACAGAGTTGGTGCCGAAGATAGGGGACAAAAGTCCATTTAATCTACTCCTTGCATTTTACAAAATTGAAAGAAAAGAGAACATCACTTGGGGTGTGTTTGGTATCAAGAAAAATATTTTCCATGAAAAATGTTTTTTTTAGAAAATATTTTCATGGAAAATGAGTGGTTCTATCACTTATTTTTCCTTGTTTGGTTGGTGAGTGGAAAACTTTTTCCGGAAAATATTTTATAGTGTTTGGTTAAAGAATAGTCGGATCGACGAGGATGTCACACACCGTATTGGGGTGGGGTGGATGAAGTGAAAGTTGGCATCTAGAGTCCCGTGTGATAATAGAGTGCTACCGATACTCAAAGGTAAGTTTTACAAAGCGGTGGTTAGACCGACCATGATGTATGGGCTGAGTGTTGGCCTGTTAAGAACTCACATATCCAGAAGATGAAAGTAGCAGAAATGAGGATGTTGAGGTGGATGTGCGGTCACACTAGGATGGATAAGATTAGGAATGAAGATATTCGGGAGAAGGTGGATGTGGCTCCCATTGATGACAAGATGCGAGAAGCGAGGCTTAGATGGTTCGGACACGTACTAAGGAGAAGCCCAGATGTTGCGGTAAGGAGGTGTGAACGACTGGTTTTGGAGGGCACGGGAAGAGGTAGAGGACGGCCTAATAAGTATTGGAGAGAGATGATCAAGCAGGACATGGCGAGACTTCAGATTTCCGATGACATGGCCATTGATAGGAAGCTACAGAGGTCGAGTATTAGGGTTGTAGGTTAGGATGTAATTGAGTCTTTCTTTACTTCGTACCTTTGTGAGGCTAGCCTGGTAGAGTTTTTATCGAAGTTAGTTAATGGCAATGTTGCATCTTACTACTCTTTTATTTTTCATAGTGTCGAGTCTATGTATCATCTATCGCTTTTGCTTTGCATCTACTTTCTCATTTTCATGATGTTATTTTTCCTATAGTTTCTACTAGTTATACTGATATTGTCTCTTTTCGTCTTCTTGAGCCGAGGGTCTTTCGGAAACAGCCTCTCTGCTGCATACACACTACCCTTCCCAGACCCCACTAGTGAGATTTTACTGGGTCATTTTTGTTGTTGTTGTTGCTTAGAGAGTAGAAAATATATTTTTGTGCTAATCTTCTCACCCCCTGCCCCCAAGTCCCCATGTTTCCTTCCTTCCCCCTAATTACCCAATGTTTTAGGACTCTATTTTCTTCAACTATTTAATTATTCTCCTAAAAATTCACACAAAACCAAAGGAACTAATGTGTTGCTTTACTTTTTTTACGCAAAACAACGTTGAAATTTATGCTCCATAACTATAAAGAAAATACTCTTTTTTTGGTTGAAAAAGAAAGTACTCTTTCTACAACATGAAAATAAAGTAATCATTTTATTGCAATAAAAGAAAATACATTTTCTACATCATGAAAAGAAAATACTCATTTTATTGAAATGAAAAAAATACTTTTGCTACATCATCAAAAGAAAGTATTTTTTTTTGTTAAAATGAAAAAAATACTTTTTTATATCATGAAAAGAAAATACTCATTTGTGAAAATGAAAAAAAAATCTATTTCTAACATTAAAAAAGTACTATTAATAATATTTTTATTTAGGGTGGCGGTGGAGTGTGATGGGGGTTGGGATGGGGTTGGTAGGTGGGGTGTGAGGGTGGGTTGGTGGGGCTGGGGAATAAGGTGGGAAGGTTAAAAAGAGTTTTGGAATATGTTTTCCCTTTTTCTTCGTAGGGAAAATATTTTTCTACAATTGGAGAAAAATGAGTTCATGAGGAAAATATTTTTCAAAATATTTAAGCCAACCAAACATAAAAAAATTGAAAAAGGTTTTCCTTCGTACCAAACACTCCCTTGATGCCGAAGTTTTCTAAGGTGAGTTTGCAAAACAATACTTGAAAAAGGAAGTTTGCATTTATACCGAACTGATCTACTTCTATTCATGAAATCCAAGAAAATAAATGTAAGAAGCGTTACAATTGCTACTTCCCACATTTTGCGGTGAAGATTGTCACAATTCTTATCCGTACTTATTCAGTACCTTACTCTCCTACTTACAACTCACTATTAGTACAATTATTATGGCAAAAACCAAAAAATTAATTAATGGAGGTTTTCCTTAGTTGAGAAGCTGGAGTAAACAGCACAGTTATGGCTCTCACCTCATTTTGTTTTGCTTGATGTCATTACTTCGGCAAACTCTTGGTTGTTTACGCCAATTTGACTTTATTAACCCACCTCCCCCTCCTCCTCCCCCCCTTCCCCTTTTTTTATTCTCATCTAATTTTTTTTAAAATTTATTTTGAATTCTTTAGATTTTGGCTTTGCAGGAGAAAACATGATTCAATATTGAAAAATCAATATTTGCTGTTAAACCCTTTGAGAATCCTGCGTTGTACTTCTTGGGATTTAACTTTGGAATATATTATAATGAAAAGGAAAAGAGAAATAGTTATGTTCGATAATTCGGTTGTCACTTTGATTTGTTGGATTTCANGCTAAAACGATTAATATTTGAGATTGAATGTAGTTAAAAAGAAAATAAGCTCTTATCCTTTTCACGAAAGATCAAAGACGAGACAGATACGCATGTATAAAGATGAAACAAATCCAATTTGCTAAAATGATTAATATTTGAGGCAGAAAAAGAAAAAACAAAACACACTTGTTCTTCACAAGAAAGATCAAAGACAAGACAAATACTCATGTGTAAATAAAATAAAATATTGAATCCCAACTCATCTCCTTAACTATATAAATTAAAGAGGTTGAGGTGGTTCCATTGTGCATTTTCATCCCAGCATCTTCTCTAGGCTCTTCTTTATTATCCTTTATACCAACTCAGCCAGTTCCAAATCTTCCATTTTAATGGAGATTGATTCAACAAACCATGAAAAAGCTGGTATCTTCACCAGCTGGTGGAGCCAGCTCAAGGGATTTCCCAGGAAGTTAAAGGACAAAGCTAGGAACATTGCTAAAAACACAAAGAAGATTGGGAAAGATGATCCTAGAAAAATTTGGCATGCAGCTAAGGTGGGACTAGCTCTTACTTTAGTCTCATTTTTCTACTATAACGGGCCGCTTTATCATAGCTTTGAACAACCAGTAATGTGGGCTGTCCTGACTGTGGTGGTTGTTTTTGAATTCACTACTGGTAATTTATTTAATTTTTTCCCTAAACACATTGCTAGTTTTGGTCTAATTTATCATCCAATTTGTTGATATCATTTTGTTTTCTTCTCTTTCTCGAGAGAATTAATAGACATATTAATTGATGTTTATTTTAAAATTCAGGTGCAACCATATCAAAGAGCATAAACAGAGGTACTGCTACGGCACTGGCTGGTGTATTTGGTGTTGGAGCTAAATATTTAGCTGGCCTCTTGGGAAATGAAGGGCCGGATCCTATAGTTCTTGGGGTTTTGGTCTTCATTGTAGGTAAGAAATACAAGCATAATAGTATAACCTATTTCTCAAAATTAACAAAATGGACACAAATCATTAAATTGTTCCACATAATGAAATTAATTAAAGACTCCGCTTGTTCATTTATTCACATCAAATGTTCAACCCATTTCACCATGCAGGCTCTGTAGGTACATATACAAGGTTTTACCCCCAAATTAAGAGGAGGTATGACTATGGAACCATGATCTTTGTGTTGACCTTTAGCTTGGTCGCAGTCTCAAGTTACCGCTCCGAGGATATTTTGACCGTTGCTTGTGAGCGGTTAGCGACCATTCTGATTGGCGTCGCCACCGTCATGACCATTTCCATGGTTATTCGTCCAGTTTGGGCCGGGGATGATCTTCATAAGCTTGTTTGTACCAATCTTGAAAAGCTAGCAAGTTTTTTAGATGGTCAGTGGATATATATATTCCTGTTTTATTATTTTAATTAACCTTCCGTCATTACAATTTTTATGAAAAGTTAAACTTAATTCTCTCCTTAATTTGCAGGTTTTGGAAGTGAGTATTTTCACATTTATGAGATTGAAGGGAATGGTGGAGGTACCAAGAGCAATGAAAAGGGCTTTCTTGAAGCCTTCATTAGTGTTATTGGTTCTAAGGCCACTGAAGAATCTTTAGTGAGTAAAACAAATTAATATCCTCACTAGTTAGACTTTTTCATTCTCAAGTTCCATCAATCTTCAGAGAGGCAAAAAGAGGTTATTTATTTATGTTTGACTTGTTTTGAGGAGGACCAAGGTGACAAAGGAAAAGCAAGCATTAATTTATTCTTGCCCTTTTAATCCCGCCCTTTCTTTACCAATTTAGGTATAGCATGAGAGCCAATTCATATTTACTGATATTTGAGTACTAATTATTAAAATGAAAAACGATTCAGGCAAATTTTGCATGGTGGGAGCCCCCTCACGGATCTTTCAGGATTAGTCATCCATGGAAACAATACTTGAAGATTGGTAGTCTTGCCAGAGAATGTGCTTGCCATCTTGTAGGTCTTACTGGCCGCTTAAATTCTAAATCTCAGGTAGATATAAGTTGAACACTCTTTCTTAAAGACCTACTTCTCCCTCCCCTTTCCGCGTGTCATGCATTGAAGGGTGCAACACGCCTGCGCGTGTGGATTACAGGTAACAGTTAAACGAATATTAAAAAGTTAACAGTATCCGACAAAATTAAGGAATGAATGTAATTAATATGTCGGTTTTTTTATTGTATTTTATACATAAAATGAAGCGCGGATAATAAAAACAATTCTTTCCAAAAAAAAAACATAAAAGCTCTTAAATAACACTAAAGTGCACATATATTAGTTGTGACGACATATATGCATAAATGGTGAAATGAAATCCTTGACTGGCAGGGAACCTTTTTAGCTTAATATCACTCTGTCCTTTAAAAAGGAATGATATTTTTTTATATTTAATAATGATAATTTAATTTTAAGCTTCCTTTTTGTCCTTAAAGAAATATTTGATAGCCATAAAAATATTTATGGCATGTTTAGCCGACAACAATTTCACATATTTTTTCTTTCTTTTAAATTGTATGCTCAGTTAAACAAATGTCACATAATTGAGACTGAGAGTGCTGTAAGTTTGAATCTCTCAATAAACAAAATGGATTTGCAATAGTCCATCCCCATTTATATACACCAATTTAAATCTGTACAATCTTATTAATTAGTTATCAAAATTTTAAACTTTAACATTATTTATTAATTTCTCTTCCAAACACTAATATGATATTTAAGTCATACTATTAACATATAAACTCAATATCCAACCATATATCATCGTGTAAAATAGGACTAATTAAGACAATATAATAATTGGTATTTTTTTTTTGGGCAACTTGCTGATATTAACTAATATTTCCAGGTACCAACGGAATTCGACAGGAGAACAGAAGAAGTATGCAAAAGAATGATCACGGAATCTAGCAAAGTCTTAAAGGAACTTGCGTTGTCCATTAAAACCATGACGCAACCTTCTTCTTCCTTCATGGAGGAAACCCACATGCGTAACGCAAAAAGTTCCATTGATGACCTTAAAAAGACACTCGGTACATCCAAAACTTTCTTCCAAAATGACGAATCAAACGTCATGGACTTGGTCCCAGCTGCATCTGTTCTGTCCACACTCATTGACGTCACCAAATGTGTCCACGAAATCTCCAAAGCTGTTGAGGAGCTTTCAGTCAAAGCAGATTTCAAGAAGAAGAAAGATTCGCCTTCTTCTTCTTCTTCTTCACCGCCCCCGCCTTGGTCCCAGTTGCTGCACCGTGGAATTGTGAATCCTGTCATGGAGGATGACGTCGAGAGTGGTGATTTCATTGTGATTGAGATAGGTGAAAACATTGAATCAGCAGAGAAAGTGGAAATAGAGGAGGCGAATCCAGCCAATAATTCGCTAGCTGCAAAGAAAGAAGAATCTGTTGTTTGTGAGATACATGTGGTGGAGGAGGTGAAAACGGAAGAGAAGAAAAGAGAATCTGTTATTATTGGGGTACGTGAAAGCAGTGCAGCAACAACAGTGGAGGAGTTGAAAATGGCACAAAAAATTATGAACTTCGCCGATATTACAAAGCTTTATGACAGCACACAATTTTTCGAACCAGTTGAAATTGGGGTACGTGGAAGCACGGCATTGGTGATTACGACAGTGATGGAGGATGGCATAGGAGGAGGTGAATCCATCCCATGGAGAAAAGGATCGTCGGAAATAGACAATTGTAAATAGTAGCAAATTGCAGTGTAAAAATTAGACAAAGGACATAAGAGAGTGAAATTTGTTCCGGTAGTTTTATTTCACCCCTAGTGATAAATGATAATAAGAGCAAGTAAAGTGACGAAGCAGGATGGAGAGTGTTAAACCGTAACTTTCCTTTCAATATTTTGTATATGTAATACAAGTTATTTTGTGCGTTTAAATTCTCTTCTTTTCTCTCCTTTTCCTTTTTTCTGTTTTAGGATGCTAAAGTTTTCTATGCTAGTTTTTTCATATACACAAAAATAAATGAAACGGGGACTTGAAATATATGCTAACAATTAAATAAAAGGGGAAACGTAAGTTCTTAATCCTGACTAAATTTTATTACAGCGGAAATATTTTAACTAAAGAAAACAAGGTAAAAGCATAATTAAGTTGCAAACAACAATGTTTAATAAAATTTCCAATATATAGGCATAGAGATTGTTTGTCACACCTCAAAATGAATTGCAATATGGTCGCCACCCAGTGCCTACCAACTTGCACCGAGTGAACCGTAATGATATTGTACATACTTAAATCACCCTCGCGTGATCCAATATAACTAATTAATAATAAGTAATTAAAGTGAAATAAATATAAATAATTTTAAGTGAGCCATAATTATAAATGTCACTAGTAAATCCTTTGAAGTAGACATAACCCAAAGTAATACAAGTCTACAAATGGAATCTTTATGACGTTACGAGTGAATACAGAGTTATAGGTCTAGCTAGCGCTATACAAAAGAAACGAAATACAGCAACATGGTTCCCAAAATCTCAAAATGAGTCACCAAGTGTGTGAAGGGTGCAGGAATCCTAACTCGCGCGCGGGCTATGATACAATGCTAAACCTAATATCATAACACTGTATATGGTTAGAATAAGGTTTGCCCGATTTTGCCATTTAATCGAGATCAGGTCAGAACACGAAGATAAAGTATCAAGCTCGAGAATCGAGGTACTCGTCGAGATCAAGGCCAATAGTGATCATAACTATATATGATCGACTTTGAACGAAGCACAATAACGGAAAGGCGAGATATCCGTAACCGGTCGAAGATCTCAGCGGAAATCCCGGAACAGATCAAATCAAGGGCGGTTGTTTAGGCTAATCATGGAATTTATTTCTATAATTAGAGTTATATCATAATTAGGATTCCTCTACTATATAAAGAGGAGTCCCCATCATTTGTAGTCACCTTATATTCACGAATATCAAAGCAATATAAAATTTCCTAGCTTACCTTTTTGTTCATCAGCTTGTGATATCCTTTACTATTCTGGCATTAATTTGTTCGAAGGAATACGAGCTCGAGAGCTTAATTATGTTGCATAGCCGGTTTGCTTTATTTTTATTGTCAATTCCCATTGTTCATCTTTATATTTATCCATTAGTATTAGGTGAATCACACGTATCCTTGAAATCATATTATAAGTTTAATTGTTATCCAATTTTTAGGATAACCAGGTTGGCGCCTACCGTGGGGCTAAGGATAATAGTGATTGCCTAGTATTAATCCTCATAACACACATTGCTTTTACACTTGTTCTTGTAAGTGTCTTTGGTTTCAGGAATATAATCAACATGTCAAACTCTCAAGCAGTGCCCACTCACACAGACACCGACCTTGGTCTTCATGGCGAGAACGAGCACATAGTCGCCTCGGGAAACAGAGTACCTACAATCAATCCCGATGGACCACAGGCCGTAGATCCAGTCTATGTCAATTCTCGCATTGCAATTCATAGAACTTTATGTGCCGATCCTGAAAATAGCATCCGCAGAGACGCCCGGGCAGCCGATCAGAATGCACAAAGTGGTGAAGAAGCCGGGATTAGACTTCGAATGATATTTGAAATGTTGCAGACTCAGCAAGATGCGATAACACAGCTCCAAAATCAGAATCGAGCGCCAAGCATAATCGAACTCGATGCATCACACGAAGTTATTCAAAGGGTCAAGCCTATACCGAAAAAATCAAACGATAGTGGATCGAGAACTGACTCCACCATCATGAAAATGCTCGAGGAGCTAACTATATGGATCAAATCCGGAGAAAAGAAAATTGAGGCTAACGATAGAAATGTAGAAACATATAACTCACGGGTTGATCAAATATTGGGGGCACCCCCGATTTTTAAGGATTTGGATTCGAAGAAGTTCGTGCGGAAGCCTTTCCCACTGAGTGCGGCTCCGAAGCCCATTTCCAAGAAATTTTGCATGCCAGAAATTCCTACGTACAATGGCACCACTAATCCTAATGAGCATGTCACTTCTTATACATGCACAATAGAATGAAATGAATTAGAAGATGATGAAATTGAATCTGTTCTGTTGAAAAAACTTGGAGAAACTTTATCGAAGGGGGCACTGATATAGTACCATAATTTGCCGCCAAATTCCATCGATTCTTTCGTTATGCTTGTTGATTCGTTCGTAAAGGCATACGCCGGAGCAATAAAGGTCGCAACTAGAAAATTGGACCTCTTCAAAGTTAGACAAAAGGACAACAAAATGCTGAGTGAATTCGTATCTCGGTTCCAGAAGGAACACATGGACCTACCCCCAGTCACCGATGATTGGGCTGTTCAAGCCTTCACTCAAGGTTTGAACGAGCGAAGTTTGATAGCATCGCGATAACTAAAGTAAAATTTGATTGAACATCCATATGTGACTTGGGACAATGTGCATAATCTGTACCAATCAAAGATCAGAGTTGAGGACGATCAGCTAGGAGCCCCTTCCGGTTTTGTTTACCCAAATAGATCCAAAAGGCAGGATTCAAAGAGACATCGACAGAGAGCCCTGATCAAATAGAGATCGATACCAACCATACATCGTAGATCGTAGAAATAGTGGACCAGGACGTAATCCCGTTCGGAATGATCTAAGGAATGATCGAGGACAAAATTCTCAAGGGCTTATGAGTAAGAGTGGCTTCGATAAACATGTCGAGCCCAAGGAAGCGCCACAGTTATCAGAATACAATTTTAGCATCGATGCATTGGATATTATATCAACCATTAGATGGATCAACGATACTAGATGGCCCAGACCCCTACAGTCCAACCCGGCTCAAAGAAACCCTAATCAAATATGCAAATACCATGGAATCCACTATTATAAAACAGTAGACTATAGGCAATTAAGGGAGGAGGTAGCTCATTTATTCAACGAAGATCATCTTCGAGAGTTCTTGAGTGACCGAGATAAAATTCATTTCAGAGACAGGGATGCAAATAGGAAAAACGAGCAGGAGGAATCGCAACACGTGATTCATATGATCGTTGGTGGGGTCGATATTCCTCAAGGCCTAATATTTAAATGCACGAAAGTTACAATCACAAGGGAAAAGCGTACCCGAGACTACTTACCAGAAGATACCTTATCTTTCAATGATGAGGATACAGAATGGATCGAACAGCCTCACAATGACGCACTAGTAATATCTATCCTTATGAATAAAATTCAAATTAAATGTGTGTTGGTTGATCCAGGTAGCTTGGCAAATATTATTCGGTCAAGGTTCGTAGAGCAACTCGGCCTTCTGGATCAGATTGTGCCCGTAGCTCTAGTACTCAATGGCTTCAACATGGCAAGCGAAACCACCAAAGGGGAAATCATTTTGCCAGTAAATGTGGCCAGAACTATCCTGGAAACGAAGTTCCATGTAATCAAAGGTGATATGAGATAGAACGCGCTGCTCGAAAGACCTTGGATTCACCATATTGGGGCAGTACCTTCAACGCTTCATCAAGTCTTAAAATTCCCAACATCGGAAGGAATAGAAACAGTGTACGGCGAACAACCAGCAACCAAAGATATGTTCGCAATTGATGAGGTATTACCAGTATCGACACTAACATCAACAACAGGACCAGAATCAAAAGAAAAGCAGGAAGTCAAATAGCAACCACTGTCGCCGGCCTTGATCAGATCGGAGTAGCAGGAAATTATCGAGGATGATGATTATATGATATCTCGAACCTTTGTAATCCCCGATGATTCCGATGCCACGAAGTCAACGGTTGAAGAGTTAGAGCAAGTCATATTGATCGAGCATCTTCCCGATTGAAAGGTATACCTAGGCAGGGGGTTAACTCCCGAGCTCAGGGAAAAACTCATTAAATTCCTTATTAAAAATATGGACTGTTTGCTTGGGTCCACCTTAACATGACAGGGATCCCACAGGAGATTACCACTCATCGATTGAGCTTGGACCCAAAGTTCAGGCCGATAAAGCAAAAGAGAATGCCACAATCCGAGGTAAAGCACGCATTCATCAAGGATGAAGTAACCAAAGTTCTCAAAATAGGATCCATCCGGGAAGTAAAATGTTACACCCCGTGTTTTCGTACGTGAAAGTATGCCATAAGTAAATTGATGAAAACTCGAAAATGAGATTATTTTAAGATTATAAGCAATTTATGCTATTTCAAATAAGTAATGAGTACATTTGTGAAGTTAAGAAGGTAAGCAACTTGAAGAAAATGAATTTCGTCAAAGTTTGACATTTTAGGATAAAATACGGCTCAAGCTAAAATATCCAGTATTTATGGACTAGTACCATACCAGGTACCACAAGGCCATGATAGTAAGGTGTATAAGGTATGTTAAAAATGAGTAGTATTTTAAATAATTTGAGATAATTCTTAATTATATGGGTAATTGGTTAATTACCGGATAACAGAATATTACCTAATTAACTAATAAGTTTGGGATAAGATTAGGACCCACCCCCAGGTGGAAGCTTTTGCCATAACATATTGTGACTCTTACATTTTTTAGATAGGTGGCATGAATCCATACATGAATCCAAAATGAGTCTTTGAGAAAGAAGGGGCGGTGGCAGTACTTAAAACCAAGGAAATATAAGAGTTATATCTCTTTCCTTCCATTCACTTTATGGAAGATATACATATAACAATCACACATTATTTTGGTGTGAATAAGGGACAAAAAAACGTTCAGATTCCCTTAGTTAA